TGTGAATGATTCTATTCTGTAACATTCCGCAGGTTTCATTGGATCCCTTATGACTCAGATTCCTCGCTAGAGAGAAGCATCCATGGATAGTCGTCGACAATGTGGAAGTTCCCTTTTTGTTGCTGTGTTTCGTCGCCAGTAAAGCATGAATAGCATTCTGCTTTCCTATATTCTCTTGCTTATTTGCAAGTATAAAACAACTGTTGGGGTGTGTGTGATCTTGTAAGCTGTCGTTCTCTGGCGCCACGGTCTGCGCTGCCACTGTCTTGTCGTCGCGGTATACCATTTTTTTTTAATAAAACCTCTGCTTATCCGTTTGCACGATCGTTTCCCCTGTAACGCATGGAGGCCCGTGTCGATCCGCGTCCCGTCGATGGCTAGCTCATGGCCGTGCATAAAGCCATAGAGGGGGGCCATGCCCTGAGCACGCTGCCGGCAGCTGCTGCGACACAGCACAGCGCACGCCTCAGGTACGTCCCCTCCCCTGATGGCGCCAAGGCGCAACCGCCGAGGGGCATGCAGCGGCATGGCACCTGAATACCTGATCATTGCGAGCGGAAAGGCGGGCAGCGGCGCGTGAACCGTGAAATCTCTCCTCGTCGTCGCCTGCGCGCGCGCCGATGCGCCTCGCGACGGGCGGAAGCGGACGAGCCGGGGACTGGAACGGCAGACAGGTAGCCGGTTCGCCGCTATCGCCGGGAACAGTGCCTGCCCATCAGTGCGCTGTCGTCGACGCGCATTCGCATTCGGCGGCGTCCCCATGATGCCGGGTCTGAATCTGATCCTGGTGGCTTAAGGCAAAGTGATTTGATTCGATGTGCTTGTGCTCCATCTCTGTCGGTGGCGTCGCTTTGCACTAGCGGCTATGGTGCTGTGAAGACGTGCCGTCTCTCCATCGAGAGGAGGTGAACCTAGCAATCCCTCGCCGTTTTCATTCATGTTACAATTGTTTGGATGTTTATTACTGTTACAGCTGATCGCTGTAGTTACTACTGAACTTGCTCTGGGCGCTTGGATTTTGGTCGGATTTTTGTGGTCCTAGGGATAAAAGGTTCCACACCTGAATAGCTGTGCTTAATTCCCTGCACCAGCAGTAAGTGTTTGACGCATGATGGATGTGTCAACCAAGCAATGCCCATTATAATCGTTAGTGCTCAAGCATTGAAATCTACAGCAACTTAGTCTTGTCTGGGATCGGATAAGATTTTGACACCAGTGCCATAGTACAATGCTTCCGCTAATGGCCGTGAAGAGGTGCTATTTGTAGGGTTGCGCTATATCATCAACTGAGGATCCATTGGATTGCATACGAGGTTTCCCACGGTTAATTAAAGATACTTCTAGGTATAGAAGTGTGGAGTACATTTCTATTATCTACACTAAAACTAACTTCTCTAATCACTACCACAAAATAGAATATCCTTGGAGCCCAAAACCCTCAAGGAAACCATAAAAACCGCCAAGAAAATGATTCTTGAGTGCCAATCCTCATGGGTGGCCGCCAAGGGTAGAGAGCAAGGGAAATTCATATTACATTGAGGGTTGACCGCCACAAATGATTTTTTGGGGGGTTTAGCCGCCAAGGAAACAAAGACGAGGTTAGATTTTGAACAACGTTAAGGAAATTTAACACCCCTCGAGGTTATATGTTTTCTTGAGTGCCGATGACATCCAAGATATGTACAGCAAAAAAAGAAAAAGTAATCACACACTTGTTGTAGCTAGGAACCAAACTCATCAAACTCACAACCTAAGGTTTCTCATGAAACTCACTTACCACTACACCACAAAGTTATTTGTGAGTTTGTGACTAGATGAATTAATGTTTCTTTCTTTTTCTATTTACTTTAGTGGATCTTGTAATGAATATTAGAGACCCTAAACAACTTCAAATGAAAAAGTTTTAACTAAAAAGTTTTACACCTCATAGAGTACTACAGCTTTAGTTTAGGTTGTATCTCCATCTAAGGTCATTTGAAAAATTCAAAAAAATTTGAATTCCAAAACTTTGAGAACTTAATACATAGTTTGGGGAATTTAAATAATTTCAAATGAAAAAATCATCAACTACAAAGTTGTATATTTCTTCGGGTTCTACAGCTTTGAAATAAACTTTGACTTCATACGATATTAGTATGTTGCATAATAGCTTTAAAACTAACTTGACATCTCAAGCTAAGTGCAAATATGCATTCTCTAATGCGTAACAACACAAATTGTACCTTTTGTTGGATTAATTTACCAAGAAAAAATATATTTCATATCACAAACATGTCAATGGAGCATTTGTGTGTATAAAATGCAATGTCTAACTAACAAAAATGCAATAAGTCCATTATATCGGTAGTTAAGAGGAATGACTATAAATTGAACATTTTTTTCTTGGCGGACACAACAATTTACTTGAGGGTTTACACTCAAGGAAACAACACTTCTTTGGCGGTTTCCAGTTACACCTAAGGAAATATGAATTACCTTGGCGGTTTTGAATAGCACCAAGGAAATGAGGAAATACCTTGACAGTTTGTAATAACATTGAAGGAAACATGGAATTACCTTGATGGTTCATACTAGCACTCAAGGAAATGTGAAATTACCTTGGCGGTTTGGGTTAGCACTCAAGAATATGCATTTTCTTGGAGGTTTCATACAACTCCTAAGGTAACGATGTATCATTGGGGGTCCAATTTCGCCCCTCAAGGAAATTGCTGGCCGTGAAGGAGATTCTATTTTCTGGTAGTGAATTATCACCATATTCGCATATGTACGCGAATGTGATAATTGCCTATATGTTTTCTGCTATATATAGACTAGCTCTGAGATATGTTTTATCTTTATTAGGGTGTGTTCAATTCAAGGACGATTTGGCTCGTTAGAGCATCTCCAGGGAAATTTACTGGCCCTCAAGGAGATTCTATCGTTTGGTTCTATAGAATTTTCCTTGCTAGCTAGCACGAGCCTAGAGGCCACCTCCTCATCCTATCAACACATCATTCCATTAGCATATCTCGGTGCACTGGGCAAGGTGAGACCAGCTTTGCCCTAGAACCAAACACACTCTTGCTCTCTCTTCCTTCATTTAAGGCCCTGTTTGGATCCCTCCAGTTTTTGTCGGTTTTTAAAATTTTGGTTTTTGGAAACTGGGTGGGATCCAAACAGACCAGTTTTTGCTACCAGTTTTTGCCAGATTATTAAAAACTAGGAAGCTATTAATACCTAGCTTAGTTTCTTGTGACACATAGAGCAATAAATGAAATTAGATTCTTAAAAACTGGATGGTTCAAACACCCCACCAGTTTTTACTCACAATCCAGATTTTAAAAATTAGAGGCAAAAACTAGTTTTCAAGAATCCGAAATTGATCAAACAGGGCCAAAGACAATTGATGACATGTACGGTAAGCTACTTCCTAACATGGTCTCATTAGAAACATCTAATAATAGCCAATAACACTTGTTGCTAACAATAGGAAGGACGACATGGATAGAGGGTACGGTTAGGCCACTAGATTAAATCTCACAATAATGATCCGATCCTAAAACTCTAGTTTTTTTTTTTTTTGAGAACCATCCTAAAACTCTGGCGAGTCCATTGTGCAACCAGCAGGAGGGCGGTGTCCGATGGCCACGGCCCACGGACCAGCAGAGTTGTGTGTGAGGGCGACATAGGATGGGCCGGCATGGCCACGGTGGTAGCAACATGCATTAAGAGGTGACACTATTGTTAGCACGATTTTTTTTGCAAAAGGAAAAACGAAGCTATACATATTCATATACTTTTGTTTGAATTTTCAAGTGACGACTTGTTAGTGTAGCACGTAGCACGATAACATCCAACCCACTACTAGCAATGGAAATTCTCACTTGATCGCCTGTGGTGTGTATGGAATGGAAGGGAATCTAAAAGCTGTAGGGCATCGGCAACTTGTTGCATACTGGCATGGACGCATGGTGCGATGTGCACTTGTTGCACTCGCACTTATCAACATTCTCCTGCTTTGTTGGCAACAAGACGCAGAAGGCGACTTAGTTTTGATATTTATTATGGAAAAGTAAAAAAAAATGACCCATATATACTTCTCAAACTATAATTAAGTATGTTTAATGATTACAGTTTTCAACAGGATACATATTCGAAAATACTTTCATACTCCACTGGTTTGTATATGTAATTGAAAATAGTCAAAATGAAGCTTTTAAACGCTTAGCCCAAACAAAATATCTATTTATTTACTACTATCGCCTTTCCCAAAATGATATAATTTTGGATATCAGAATTGTATTTTTTTAAATAGGGGATAAACAGGTGCTATGCAACCATTAAAGCGAGTATAATAGTGCCTAGCCAACCGATGGAAAAGATTCCACATCAGCAAAATATAGGCGGGAAGAGGTGATGATAGGAGATAGCATATGGAGCGCGATGCTCACGGAAGCTATGATGAAAGGCAAGAAACAAGAAAAAAAATACACGCATTTAGGCTAGTTTCATTGGGTTTCATAATCCAATTTTCAAGAGTCGTGTGTTAGAAATAGTGTAAAAAACTTTGATCATCTGTCTTTATTTATAGTGTCATATTGCCATGTCAACATATTTACTAAAAGTTGTTAGCTTATTTAATACCGATAAAACTCTGCCATGGATGATATTAAATAAACTATCAGCTTTTCAAATGACATTGACATGGCTTATATTTAAATAAGCCGTCAATAGGATTTTCAAATGACACGGCTTTTTTAATACCCATGTGTTGTCTATAGATAGTGTTCAAATGACATGGCTTTCTTATTACGGTATAAGCACAACACTTCAATCAACTACACTACAGGGGCGAATCGAAAGTTCGACGAGCAACCGCACAAGGGCGAATGTCGATCCCCAGAATAGCCGTCTATCTTGATCTGGACGGTACAAAATACTGCACGCCTCTCCATCCACCTGTCACTCACCACCAGCCCCACATCACACCCCTCTTATAACAGCAAGCAAACTACCACACCATGTCTACCTCCGTTTCCGCCGCCGCCGTTGCCGCTGCCGCTGCCGCCCTCGTCCCACGCCTCACCGGCCGCCGATCGCCGCCGGCATCTCGCGTACCAGAGATCTGCCGCAGAAGAATCAGATCCAAACCCCGTATCTTTTCTTCCTCCCCCTCTTTCCCCATTGTCCCCGCCGCTGCCATGGCCACCGACGGCGCCGCCTCCGATGCTGGGTCCAAGAAGAAGCTGCTCATCTTCGACTCCGAGGAGGATCTCGCGGTTTCGTTGGCAAAGTACACTGCGGATCTGTCGGAGAAGTTCGCGGCCGAGAGGGGCGCCTTCACCGCCGTGCTCTCTGGCGGATCCCTCATCGAGGCGCTCAGGTTCTTTAACTTTCCTTCCACCCTCAGAAATTAGCTACTTTCTTGGGTCATCCGGGGGACCAAGTAGATATCTCTCGTCGTCATTGGTTTCGCAGGAAGCTGACGGAGCCGCCGTACCTGGATTCAGTGGACTGGAGCAAGTGGCACGTCTTCTGGGTGGATGAGAGGGTCGTTCGCAAGGACCATGTGGATAGCAACTACAAGCTCGCCTTTGATGGGTTTCTCTCCAAGGTATTCTCCGCAATTTCTTGTTCCTTTGTCAACAGCTGGTTGTACTCGTTTCGGCCTTCCTTGTTACCTGATTGTGTAATTGGAAGACATATCGCAAATCCAAGTTCGTTCATGAATTCGCAATGCTTTTGCATCATTTCAAGGGGATTATTTCCCCCTTATAAGTGACTGGCTAGATGCTTTTGTGTAAACCTAGCTTCCTTGTTTATTTTTTAGCTGTTTAACTTCTTTTTTCTAATATAAATTATTTATTCAGTAGGGGACCCTCCTGGAAAAAAATTGGAAAACATAACCTGCTGTAATAAGGTTCGGGTTATACTTGGATAGTGCAAAATGAAAGCAATAGTTCTCGTGTAAATGAAACTAGATGATACCCCGCGCGTTGCTGCGGGAGTTTGTAGCGTTGTACATGGGGAAGGGGGTTTAAAGAATTTGAGAACTTATATGTAGCATCCACCATGATAGCTTTGAGAGTAGCAGCGGGATTGAGGGGGAATTTCAGATAAACAATGGATAATAATGTGAAATAAAATGACATAATAACATCATCTTATTGGTTCACTGTTAAAAAAAAGTTCTGCAAATGTCATCCTGGTTTAATTACAAAACAAAGTGTTATGTTCGGAAATTCAGCACATGTGGCAGTGGCGTCACATATGGTCGTATTAATAGGCAGTATAATTAATAGTATGAGCTTGTGAGATACTAACTATTTGGAAATTGTGAATGTCTATGCTGCCGGCACTAAAGTACTGAACTTGGTGCAATGGTAATTTCTAATGGCATCTTCAGTAAGCAGCCTGTTCGGTTGGCTTGTGCTTGTCGTAAACGATCGTAAATTTCCAGCCGGAACAATATTTTTCTCTCACACCAAACCAGCCAGCAGTACTTCTTCACGAACCAGCAACGAACAAGCCCAGCCAAACGAACGGGCTGAAGGAATCGATCTTCTCTACATGCTGAGGGAAATACCCCATTGTGGAACGATCCTTGGCTTATTCCTAATTTTGTCTTGAAATTTCCAAATAATGGAAGACGATGACCCATCTTCACTAACTGATAAACCTGACAAAGTATCTTCAATTAGAAGTGCTTATCTCTTGATTAAAAAAGGATGTATGTGGCATAAGAAAAAAAAAGGATCCAAATACCCTGGCGGAAGCTGTAATTCCTGTAGCAATCCATTATGAATGTTGAATAATTATTGAAGCATCACCTGCTAGAGCTTATCTAGTAGCAAGAAGCAGAATCATCGGCATCACCAGCTGCTGGAGCTTATCTAGTAGAAAGAAGCAAAATGTAGCACAAGACTACATGGAAAGCACACCTATGTAATTTCAGAATTTGTTGTGACCTATGAACTTCTTTTGAGGAATCATTAGGGTCACACAAATCATTCACGGACTGATCTGATGACCGAAAAGGGCTCAAATGAGAAGAAAAATTAGACTACTTAAATTTGATAGCAAGAAGTATAGAAATCTAAAATACTAACTCCTAAGCTAATGAAAACAAACTCCATTTAGACCTGCTAGCTGGATGTCACTGAGTAGGAGGCCGATGTAATACCCTTGGTGCAGCTAGTGATCTAGCCTTCAGAGGTTCCAGGATGGCTGCATAAGAGGCAAAATCCAAATTGCCATGGAGAAGGTTCATATATAAAGGGAGGCACCCCTGTACGTGGGGAAGATGAGCAGACAGAGAGGGGGACCGATGGACAGAAACAGCTGTTCAGTTTGTTGCACTTATGGCCACTGTAGATTGCGGCAGAAAAAGAGAACATGCGGAGGGGTGCTCACGGGTGGGTAGGCGTGGGAGAGAAGCAGGCCCTTGGTGACTGTTGGTCCCTGGGATCCCTGCACAGGTAAGCAATTAGCTTACCAGCACACACACTCACTCACTATGGCTAGAGGTAGAAGAAGGGGTGAGCACAACACACACAACACAAGCACCAGCGTTGGCTAGGCTCTGCCCTTCTGGTTTATGGCAACTGAACTGCCTTTTCTCATTGCATAGTGGTAGAATATATACAACTCATGTGCCAACTATAAGGTACACATGAGCATGGCCGAGTACAGCCCCAACTACTCCCTAGTACTAGCAGTACAATTCCTATCTCAGCCCATTACCAAGATATGGCTGATGTATTAGCTACCAACTAATGTACCAGTGGTGGCCTATTGCCTTACTGCTACAGCAACTAGGACAGCAGAGAATAACCTATTGCCAAATCTGCTGTGTAGCAAATAAAGAGAGATCAGCAGCAGATTATGTCTCACAATTCTTCTCCTAATCCTGCTGCTAACCCAAAGCCTTGACCTCATCCATGCCAATCATCTTCCTTAGCTCCATGAACTGCAGGCGCCCGAGTGACTTGGTGAGGATGTCAGCGAGTTGTCTGCCGGTTTCGACAAATTCGATGACGATCTGTTCTCCATCGATGCAGTCCCGGAGGAAGTGGAACTTGATGTCGATGTGCTTGCTCCGGTCGTGAAGGACAGGATTCTTGGCGAGGGCGATGGCGGGCTGATTGTCCACCATCAGAGCTGGCGAGTGAGCTTCCTCTCCAGTCAGCTCGCCCAGCAGCCGGCGCAGCCAGACAGCCTGGCACGCCGCCGTGGCCGCTGCGACGTACTCCGCCTTGCACGTCGACAGTGCCACAATCTTCTGCTTCAGCGATTGCTAGGCGATGGGGACTGCTCCAAGGAAGACAAGCACACCAGAGGTGCTCCGTCGCCTGTCGATGTTGCCCGGCATGTCTGCGTCACTGAAAACAGTGAGCTCTGGCTCACCTTCCGTTGCCTTGGGGGGTGCCTCACTGAAAACCGTGAGCCGCAGCCCACCCTTGCCGCCACTCTTGGGAAAGATGATCGCTTGATCGAGCGACCCCTTGATGTAGCGCAGCAGCCTCTTCACTACTGTCCAGTGGCCTTCACGCGGGTCCTCCATGAAACGGCTGACATACCCAACCGCGAACGCAGTGTCTGGCCGGGTATGAGTGAGGTAGCGCAGCCTGCTGACGATGCTCCGGTAGCGCGTCGCGTCCACCTTCGCAGCGGTGTTGTGCTTGCTCAGCTTCACCCGCTCCTCCATTGGAGTCACACACGGCTTGCACTCCGCCATGCCGCCGCGCTCCAGCAACTTCTCCGCATAGGCTCGCTGGCCCAGGGAGATGCTCTCCTTCCCTTGCCTCACCTCGATGCCGAGGTAGTAGGAGAGCGCGTCGAGATCGCTCATCTTGAACCGAGCTGCCATCTCGCGCTTGAACTGATCGATGTCCTCCGCATGCGCACCGGTGACAATCAAGTCATCCACATACACGGTGACGACGAGCTCCTTCTTCCCCCGTCCCCGCGTGTACAACGCGTATTTTGTGGCGCAGCGAGTGAACCCAAGCTCGCCCAATGTGGCGTCGAGCTTGGCGTTCCACGCCCGAGGGGCCTACCGAAGCCCCTAGAGCGCCTTGCGCAGCTTGAGCACCTTGTGCTCAGCGCCCTTGATGGCGAAGCCCGGAGCTTGCTTGACGAAGACCGTCTCCGTGAGCTCGCCGTTGAGGAACGCAGACTTGACGTCGAGGTGGTGGACGCGCCAATCCTTCGCTGCTGCCATGGCCAACAGCAAGCGAACGACTCCATGCGCGCCACCGGAGCGAAGACTTCCTCGAAGTCGATGCCCTCGCACTGGACGAAGCCACGGGCGACGAGCCGAGCCTTGTACTTGACAATGGCACCGCGCTCATCCCGCTTTACCTTGTAGACCCACTTCAACCCGATCGGCCTGCAGCCCACTGGTGGATCCACTAGCTCCCATGTCCCATTGTCCTCGATCGCCCTCATCTCCTCCAACATCCCCCGGCGCCGATTGGCGTTGCGTTCAGCCACTGTGAACGTCGGCGGCTCCTCTGCACTGACAAGGAGTAGCTCTGGGTCATCTAGAAGCCGGCTAGCCGGTACAGGAGCTCCCCCTTCGCCGACAATGTTGTCCACCCGCCTAAACCGAACCTCCTCGCTGTCATGGAAAGCATCCACGAACTCGTCGATGTCGGTGGGTGGTGATGCAAACTCCAGTGGGGGTGTCCCTTGTGCTGCCGTCGCAGGGGACTCTGGTGGAGGTGAATGCGCCGCTGCTGGTGGAGACTGCTCTCCAGCAGCAGCCTGTTCTCCAGCAGCCTGCTCTCCAGCACCATCATCTCCTCCTCCTTGGATCACCAGGTGCTCGACAACAAATGTGCTGCTGACACCAGTAGCCTCCCCGGCGCCTTGATCCTCCCAATCCCAAGCAACCATCTCGTCGAACACTACGTCCCTAGAAACCACCACCTTGCCTCCCTTGGGATCATAGAGCCGATAGGCCTTGCTGCCCTCGTCATAGCCAACAGCACCATGGGCGTGCTTCTATCCTCCAGCTTGCCGAGGTGGGGCTTTGTGTTCTTGACATGGCCAACGCAGCCAAATGTCCTGAGGAAGAATACATTCGGCTTGCGTCCATGCCAAGCCTCGAACGACGCCTTGCCCTTCAGGGCCTTGGTGGGCGCGCGGCTAAGGATGAACACCGCCGTGGTCACCACCTCTCCCTAGAACTTCGCCGGCATCTTCTTAGCCTTCATCATCGACCTCGTCATGCCGACCACCGTCTGGTTGCGCCTCTCCACCACGCCATTCTGTTGCGGCGTGTACGGCGTGATGTGGTGGCGCACCACACCTTGATCCGCACAGTACGCAGCAAACTCCACAGAGGTGAACTCGCCACCGCGATCAGTCCGCAGCTTCTTGCCGCTCTCCGCCTCCGCGCGCGCCTTGAACTTCTTGACCGCCTCCGCCGCCTTGTTCTTGCTGGTCAAAAGCTGCAGCCACAAGAACCGGCTGCAGTCATCCACCAGCAAGATGAAGTACTCGCGGCCTCCATGCGTCGTCGGCGTGATCGGCCCACAGAGATCACCATGGACCAGCTCGAGGGCCTCCACCGCGCAATACTTCGCCGTCTTCGGGAACGACAACCTCCTTTGCTTCCCAGCCAAGCAGCTGTCACACAGCTCGTCGGCGTGCTCGATGTGAGGCAGCCCAGTCACCATCTTCTCCAGCCGATCAAGAGCGTCGAAGCTGAGATGGCCATACTGGGCATGCCACAGCCACGGCTCCTCCGTGCGTCGTGCAGCCAGGCAGATGGGTTGCTCCACCTTCAAGTCGAGCAGGTACAGCCGGTTCCGAGATCTCTTCACCTTGGCGAGAAGGCATTGTTCCCGGTCCCTGATCCTGAGGATGCCATCCTTGATCAGCACCTCCGCTGCCGCTTCGTCCGGTACCGCTCGATGTCGATGATCTTTGGAGCCTTGGTGGGGATGTAGTAGACGTCTGTCGGTCAGCAGCGGTGCTCATTGCTCGCAGCACCGAAAAATGATGGTGCCACGCCCTCGGATCGCCACTCTTGAGCCGTCACCAAACCTCACTGTCCCGGTCACGTTGCCGTCGAGCTCGGAGAAGGCCGCCTTGGAACCCATCATGTGGTTGCTGGCGCCGGAGTCCAGATACCACCGCTGCTCCTGCTCGCCGCCCACACGTTCGAGGTGGACTTGGACACGCGGCTCGTCGAGGTTGACAGCCTTCAGAGCCTTCCCGTGCTCCTGTACCGCCATCACCTCTCCCTTCTCCTTGGCCTCAACGTCGTGCAGTGCACAGAACGTCGCCATCAGGAGAGTGGCCTCATCATCATCATCAGTTTGCGCCAAGCCTTCTTCTCCTGCTTGCGGTTTGGGCACTCCTTTGCCCAATGGCCTGTCTTCCCGCAGCGCCTGCAGGCGTTGGGGTCGACCTTCTTCTTTTTCTTCTCCGAAGAAGCCTTGCCGCGGGTTTTGCCGTCGCCATCGCCGCTGGAGGAGGCTTCCCCGGACTTCTTCTCCTTCATCCGGGCAGCTCACTCCTCTGTCAGCAGCAGCTTGCCGCTGTCCGTCGTAGCTGTGGCCTGCTCCATGCGCTCGTCCACCGCCCTCAGACGGCCGGTCACATCCTCAACGGTGAGGGTGGACAGGTCCAGCATCGTCTCTATGGAGAGAGCGATCTGGATGTACTTCACCAGCACGGAGTGGAGGTACTTGGAGACTGCCTTTTCTTCGTCGATGGTGACGCCGTGGCTCCCCAGCTTGCTGATGAGCGACTCAGGCGGATGGAGAGGTCGTCCACCGATTCACCATCGCGGAACTTGAGGTTGGCATACTCCTGCTTCAGCAGCTGGGCCGTCGCCTTCTTTGCGCGGTCAGAGCCGATGCACATCGCTGTAATGGCCTCCCACGCCTCCTTAGCAGTCTTCTTCGCCCCCAACGGCTCCCAGTACTCTGCTGGCACAGCAGCGAGGATGGCCTCCATCGCTGACATGTCTTCTTCTTCATTGTCGGTGCCCTTGTCAATGGCATTCCAGAGCCGTCGGGCTCTGAGCTTGACCTTCATAGTCACCGCCCACTCCCATAGTTGGTGCGAGTCAGCTGTGGCCAAGTAATGCCGCTGACCTCCCGCACCATGTGCACAACGACCTCCTGTCGTGGCTGGGCAGCCCTAGCAGCACCGCCGCCTCCCACAGCTCCGCTGCTGTCGCTCATCTCCGAGCCAGGTGCCATCGCCAGCGATTAGTCCGGCGACGCAGGCGAACCTGTACGGCTCCGATACCACTTGTTGGTCCCTGGGATTCCTGCACAGGTAAGCAATTAGCTTTCCAGCACATACACTCACTCATTATGGCTAGAGGTAAAAGAAGGGGTGAGCACAACACACACATAGCATAAGCACCAGTGTTGGCCAGGCTCTACCCTTCTGGTTTGTGGCAACTGAACTGCCTTTTCTCATTGCATAATGGTAGAATATATACAACTCATGTACCAACTATAAGGTACACATGAGCATGGCTGAGTACAGCCCCAACTACTCCTAGTACTAGCAGTACAATTCCTACCTCAGCCCACTAACAAGACATGGCTGATGTATTAGCTACCAACTAATGTACCAGTGGTGGCCTATTGCCCTACTGCTACAGCAACTAGGACAGTAGAGAATGACCTATTGCCAAATCTGTTGTGCAGCAAATAAAGAGAGACCAGCAGCAGATTATGTCTTACAATGACGTGGCTTCACCAAATTACAGACAAAATCTGCTAGTGGGGGTCTCCTATGGTATAGTAGATGGATGCAAATTGTAGTGACAACCTATTGTACTGATGGTGGTTAGTCATCATTTAGGAGCATACCAACAGGTGGTGGTAGCTTTTCTGTGATGTATTATGAATAGTTTTCATGTAAATGAAATGGATAGTGCAAAAAGAAACCAATAGTTCTGGTGGAAATGAAATGGATGCGAATTGTAGTGACAACCTATTGCACCGATGGTGGTTAGACATCATTTAGGAGCATACCAACAGGTGGTGGTAGCTTTTCTGTGATGTATTATGATTTATGAATAATTTGTCTTCCTTCATGCCTCATGGGATATGCTGGTGTCTCAAAGCATTTGATGTCCATGTCCCTCCTATACTCGATTTCTGTGAAACTAACCCTGCTATACTCTGCTGATGGCATTCAATTTCTGTGCGACAACTGTGCTTAAATAAACTCTAATATCTAAATTATTCCTGTAGATTGCAGTGATACACAAAACCATTTTCTTGTGTAGCTTTGCTTCATGTTTTGTGTTAAATTTCAGTTTTGGAATCATATGCAGATGTGAAATAGGTCATGGTATGGTCTTTCAGAATGAAACAGGTCATGGTATGCTGGAACTTAAACCAAACTTAGTTGACTTCATGATACAACTGTCTTGTACTCTGGCCATGTTCGAGTTTGCATTAGAATCACATGTCTGGTTCATGAACTTTGGCATTTTTAAGTAGCCTTTTATAATCTAGTCATTCATATTGTTTAACTAAGTTTGTTGCAGTTCTTTACATACAGTCCAGTACAGACTCTTTAGTCTGCTTTAACATTTTTTTTTTCAAAATGATATTCAAAAACTAGATTAAGATTTTTCAGGTTTACCAATAGTGAGGCCAACAGTTTAGGTGAGTCATTAGCAATAAAAGAATACAGTTTCTGGTTTGGGTTTTATTAAATGATAAGTTTTATATGCTTATTTGTCAAGGCTCAAATGCTGCTTGAGCTCTAAACAATCTTGTCAATTACTTGATGTTTGTGGAGGCCCAGAGGGATTCATAACAGCATCAGCAGTTTTCATGTTCTCTGTAATCTGTAAGAGTAACTTGGTGCTGTCTTTCAATTTTGTAGGTGCCGATTCCTCCTGGACAAGTTTATGCTATAAATGATGCCTTGTCAGCTGAGGGAGCAGCAGATGACTATGAAGCGTGCTTGAAGCAGCTTGTTAAGAACGGTGTGATTTCCATGTCAGCAGCGACTGGATTTCCCAGGTTTGATCTCCAGCTTCTGGGAATGGGACCTGATGGCCACATTGCATCTCTCTTCCCTGGTCACCCTCTTGTTAATGAGAAAGAGAGGTGGGTCACATACATTAAGGATTCTCCAAAACCACCACCCGAGAGAATCACATTTACATTTCCAGTAATCAACTCATCTGCATATGTTGCAATGGTGGTAACTGGAGCTGGAAAGGCTGCAGCGGTGCAGAAAGCACTTTCAGACAAGCAAACCTCATCGGATCTGCTGCCTGTTGAGATGGCTGTACTGCAAGATGGAGAATTCACTTGGTTCACTGACAAGGCAGCAGTGTCCATGCTGCAGAACAAGTGAAGTCCATGGTAATCTTAGCTTGAAGCCATTTTAGCTCATCATAAATAAAAGATCCAGGGGCCTGCATAGTTGCATCCGTCCTCCAGGATTTCATGTAAGGGATACTTGAGCCTTTTATGTAGTATATATTGTTCGGACTTCGGAGTAATGTTTCAAAAACTCTTCTGGCTTCCGGCTTCTCTGAAACATTGCTCAATAAGTGTTTGGTTTAGTACATGGTTCACAGTTCCATGCTAGAAGCGTGGATACGAAATGTGACCGCATTTTCTTCCAGGCTTGCTGTTACTGGCATGTCCCAGTTTCCAGTAGTTTTCAGTGCTCGTGCCATCTTATATATGAACAGTGATCTGCATTCCCAGTGATAGATTCCTCCATTGCAGTTCCCCTACCTGCACTTAAAGTTTTCAGTTGAGCATTAAAGAAGCTCATTTGGGGCAATTGAGCTGAAAATATTTGCATATAAGCTATTCAGCTGTCAGGAGTCTCTGGGCCTGCATATTTAGGGAGGGGCTGTTTGGTTGTTTTGCCGGCCCAAGCTAGCTAGGCCAGGATTGCCTAGCCTCGCTAGAAATAGTTTTTGGTGTTTGGTTCCTTTTCCTTGCTGCTTAATCTCATTTCTTTCCCTCCCCTCATGTGTTCCCCTTCCTAATCAAGTTTGATTCAGAACGAGCAGATCTCCAGTTCGTTGGCAGTCAAATTGTACACAGCAACACGCAAGGATCACATCCGAGCTTAATATCTTCATTAGTGAGCACTAATAGCCTAACCCTCTTCATTTATCTTGTCAATATGTACATCTACATTTACACCCAATATTAAAGGGCGAAGTGATCTTTTGTCCGTCTTTTTACTTTTTAAAGTACCCTTGTGTCCTCTTGTCAAATTCATGGTCCGTGCATATACAAGAACCGTATGCATTTGTGCATCCAACAATGGTATGACTCTGGTTCCAATACATATATATTAGAATAGATTATGCGACTGTTACATAAATCTCTGTGCCACAAATCGTTTAAATGATCGTGTAATAAAATGTATGTTTGTTGCAACGTTCGGGACTCGTTCAAATGATAGTGTAATGAAATGTGTGTTTGTTGCAACGTACGGGACTACGGGTACGTTTGCTAATTAATTCAAAAGTAGAGACGGCGAGCATGAGCAGTGAGCATGTTTGCTAGTTAATTCAAAAGCACAGACGGCGGCTTGTGGCGTTAGGATGGTGACTGAGGCCACAGAGCTGCAGAGTGCCACCAAGGCCAGCATATCCCCCTTCTCTGCTGAGCTTGAATTGGAGTTCAATTTTTGGCATTATTTATACTCATCTTTTTTTGAATTTGAGCTCAGTTTTTTGTTAGCTGCGTACCTGCATATGAGCTCGGTTTGAGAAGGTAGGGGTTTGATAGAAAGGAGCTTAATTTGGTGACCAGAGAAACCAGATTTAGATATCCAGAGAAGTAAGCTGAGAGGATGGCTACAAGGAAAAAACGAGAAAGCAGCGTCATTCCAGACCTTGCTAGCGTAGGCGAGCCAACAAAGGGCAATGCAGGCTAATACTTAGAGCATGCCTAATCCTAGCCATGTTCGCTTGAACTAATCAGCACGGCTTATCAGCCATTGTACAGTGTTTTTCTCTCATAACAAAACAGTATTTTTCAGCATCAGCATAAGCCAAATTTCAGCGAAACGAACAGGGCCGTTAGCCTCGAGAAAAAGATGCACTCCACCTAGACAATCACGAGATGAAGCTAACTGGGTCTCAACGCAGGACAAAACTCTCTGTTTTTCCATTGTACATTTCACTTTCACCTTTCTTTTCCCTCTCTCAATCTTTATTTGCAAACTGATGGTCCCCTACAACAAAACTATGCATTGAGCTTTCTATCCCTCACAATGCATGTTCGATTGGGTGTTTCTGTAGTGTGTTAGATGAAGTTGCAGATACCGCAAGCCACTATGAACCTCTGCAGGCAGAGCACCAGCCTAGGTGACGTGGAAGCTCGACGTCGATGTGGAGCTTGGGGTATATGGCCAGCGTGGTGCGTTGGGCTTGCTCTTACTGGTGGTCTCACGTCGAAGGCACTTCCACACAGATTAAGTACTATTCGGGCACTTAAAAGCCATAACCCAAGTACTACTAAGCTGGTTGCTCTACTCTACTGCCCCTCCTATCTCCATGTCAGTTTCACATGTTGTTGGTCCAGAAGAAAACACGCGAGAATATTTGCTTTTGGCCACAACATGCACTTGAACTATGGCTTCTGTTTTTTGTTAGACGAAGTGACGGTTGCTTCTGCAAGCCCCTCTAACACGCTGCAGAGCTAACAATCCAGTTGATACTCTTTACACTAACGTGGAAGATGGGGGCACTTGCTAGGGTGTTGGGTGTTGTAGCGTTGAGCGTGGCCTAAGGTTTTCCTCGCTTTGGCACCCAAGATTATTGGGTAAAGTGAGAAACCTTGGCGCTACCAAACAGAACCTCTGGGCAAGGTGAGGCGAGCCTTTGCCCATGAAGAAAAGTAGTCCCTTACTGTCATGTCATAGTCTTTCATGCTTCCATTAGAAGGCAACATACATATTTTACTGCATTTGTACTAGCTCAGATAATCAAGGGTGCTAATATGTTCTTGACATCCTACCATGAGCACCCAACGGACGACATGTTGACACCCCCTCATGTGAACGTAAGGGACGTCGTGATTAGTTGAGCAAGATTTGCCGGTCAGAATTTTTGTTATATGCACATGTATTTTCTGACCGAGTTGTGCAACCACTCATGACAGACACATGACATTGCCTAGCAACACAATCTGTGTACCTAACATGCAGTTCACTGATTACTGAATCATTGTTTACCATATTGTTGTCGAACTAAATTTCTCAGTCGTAAGGCTGACTAAGACAAGAAATCAGAGAGTACAATTCTTTGTAAACAGATTCATGCTTATGTTCACGCCACATGAATAACTACCATCCCTTTTGAATGTGCTCATATGGAATCCACTAAATTTTCAAAAAGCTAAAAAAAGTGTTACATGCCACAAAATTGAGTCCAACTATGACCACAAGCGGCACATATTGTGAATTCGTGTCAAGCATATAAGGGTTGTGAATGCAAGTGTCGTCACTACATGGAGGGATTTCTAGTAGTGCAACCAAGGGCATTAGGCACGATTGCCCGCTCTCACCCCATATTTTTGTGATAGCCATTAATGAGTTGTCAATCAAGATCCAGGAGAAGCTTTAGGCCCTGTTTGGATGATGAAACCGTTTCGGATTCTCAGGTGAATCACCAGAATCGCTCTCAAACACCCAAATAGGTGACAGAAACGTTTCGGATTCTCAGAGAAACGTTTCTTGTTTTTGTACTAGAATGAGAATCACCCAAATAGGTGTTTCACAGTGATTCTAGTTCATTTCAAGGAGAATTTGGATCAGTAGCCAAACATTTTACCGATTCTTACCAAGTGATTTCTTATAAGTGCATCTAGCCCTTTAGTGGGTTTTGGCGAATTGAATGACAACACCATTAAAGGTTTAATAAGTTTGCTAAGTGTTGAACAGGAAATTGAGTTTATTGTATACACTTGTGGATTGTGGAATGAAAAGTGTATATAGGTTCAACAAGAAGACAAACTTGATGATATTCCACATAATGTTCAAATCAAGGCCAAATTGTGTATTGTTGTGTTGGAAAATCATGGAAACAGTATAGTTCAAGAAAAAGACAACAATACAAATGAAATGAATGAAATGGCTTCTGTGTTGTGGGATATCACAATATCATAAGAAAGAAAGCATATTTGGCAAATGGTAAATGAGACATGAGTTGATGATTTTGAATTGGTCTCAATAATGGCTTGCTTTACATGAACAAGAAGAGTTTGATAGTGGATTAGCTTTGATCAAGGATTGAAGAATGAGTCAAGAACGCATAAGTGAGGAAATACCAAGCAAAGGTTAAATGACAAAGGACACAACTCAAATTGGATATAAGTCAGTCTCTATCTTGGTTTGCTTGTATGGATAAAGATTTAGAAAATCACTTTGCATTAATATGATTAAGTTAGAAGTACGAAGATAGAGATTGAAGTGAGTATTAGGAATGTCAAGCCAAAATAAAGAAGATATAAGGAATCGTGAATTGGCTTGACCACATTGATGTTGATCCATATATGTCTCTATGTGAGTCTAACTGAAGCTTAATTGATCTGAACTTTTATATCCAGAAGATATTCAAGCAAGGATCACAATATTGAAGAAATGGTTTTTCAATAGATGCTTAGTATGATGTGACTTGAGTATAACTTGATAAGGTGAAGATAGAAAGGAAAGGGCTTCGAGGGACTAAGCAGAGGTGAAGGGCAAGCGATGGCTTGAGGACCGAAGTACCATGGCTAAGGTAAAGAAGAGAGTACTTGCATTGAGTCGAGCAACTAATCAAGCTATAATGAGTCATATTGTGTTGAGGATCAAATCATCAGTAGAAGTGACTTGAAGCCATGAGGTGAATTCATATATATGGAAATGGTTCAAGTCACATGCTCAAGGTATGTTTGCTCAAAGAGAGGAGACAAAGCTGATTGCAATCCCTTATGAAGCAATTTAAGAAGAAATGGCATATGAATACATTGAAGATTCAAGTGGTTGAGATGATTATATTCTCTTGATCTTGAGTATAGGTATGTCATACTATCAAGGGGGATGCAATACGAATCATAAACAAGTCTCAAGTGCTCAAATAACCAAACCTAAGTGCTAATATGAGAGAAAACACTTAGCACAACACCTACACTTTTTTATCTTGGGACTAGATAGTTCTCGAAACAAGCTTTTCTGAATTTCCAAGATCTTTGAAAATGGAGTTCGAATAAAAAGTTTTGGCGTTTTTAAGTGAGGTGACATGTGCTATTTTTCAGAGTTGCTTGGCAGTCTTTTGAATTTTTGCAATGATCCCATGGGTTGGCCTTGATGATGCCGCACCTATCTGAGTCACTGTGGCT